GGGGAACTTATTTCCTTTCCTTATGGATCAGTATTCCTGTCCTTGGGACTGGCTTTGTAACAGTAACTCTGATGGAGTGAGGTGGCTGAATAAGAAAGCATAAGAAAATCAATCAAACCTATTCCTGGAACACAAAGCATAGATTCTTGGTCCTTGGCCTGGTTGCATTTCTTTGAAGTCTTTACTCTCTGTTTTTCCTACTTCTTCACTAATTTTTGAAACCTGATTTTATCTGACTTTTTTTTCATTTTAACAATATTTAAAACTTGAAAGCTTTAGGAGTTAGGAGCTATCAGCAGATGGACTTTTCAAAAGTACAGTTAGTCATGTGTCATAATGTTTAACCTCCCAAAACCTGTACTGTACCCAAAACCCCTCCTGTCTGCTCAGTTTATCAGATTTAAGAAACTGATTTAGGTCCAGCATCTGTACTGACCCTGACCCACTTTGGAGCAATACTGGGGCTTGGAAAAAAGGCCTTACACATTAAAATTTTTTAAATCGTTATTATAAAGGTGATATACAGAGCTGTAAGTCAGTAATGACAACATTTCTTTTAGGACAATGTCATCCCTTTCCTCACACTCTTTCATAGCTTTTTCACTCAAGGTTGTCACTCAGCCACTTAAGCCATAGATCCACTTCTGGTATTTTGCTGGTTAAGTGGAGATAAAACTCACGTGGACCTTTCTGCCCATGCTGGCTTCAAACTGCATTATTCAAATTTCAGCCTCTTGAATAGCTAGGATTACAGATGTAAGTTGGACCATAGTTTTGACAGAATTACCTAGAGAACCAAATTATGATAGACATTAAGGGGAAAAAATCCAAACAGTTTTTAAGTCTCCATTTGCAATATAATTTAATCTGAATAATTTTTTATTGTACTCTGTGGTACATGTGAATAAGTGCTTTTGTTTTTGCATTAGCAAAAATGCAGATAAAATGGTACCATTTGCAAGTGATTGTTGATCACTTTTCTTGAAAAATATTTTTATTTGTTATTTTTGGTTTTGATAAGTTTTATTAGGGTATAGTTTACAGATAATACAATAGACATTTTGTTGTGTTTAATCAATATATACATATTCATGTAACTTTACCATTAAAAGCTAAATAAAACTTCTCTTTCGCACTTTCAAAAAATTATAAAACATATACCTTATTAATATAAACAAATGTACATCATTGTCAGTTGTTGTAGTTACCAGGAAGAGTATGGGTTCCAGCACTTGCTGCAAATGTCCATTTCTTCTAGCTCTTTCCTACTACCCTACTATGATGTTATTTCTTTCTGACCCAAGTATTATTTTTTTCTGCCTGGGAAGAGACAGACTTCAATCAACCAATTGTAGTTTTGCTAGAGCCATTCCCCCACCCATTACTGTTATTATTATTTATTTTATTTTATTTTTGGTGCCGATATTTGGGCTTGAGGTCAGGGCCTAGGCATTGTCTCTTAGTTTTTTCACACAGGGATGGTGCTGTAACACTTGAGTCACACTTCTACTTATGGCTTTTTGCTGATTAATTAGAGATGAGAATTTCATACTTTTCTTCCAGGGCTGGCTTTGAACTTTGATTCTGATTCTCAGATCTCAGCTACCTTAGTAGCTAGGATTACAGATCTGAGCCACCTGTGTATAACACCCAGGATTCTTTTTGTTCTTTGTTTTTTGTTTCTACCATATAGCTTGGATCATTCTTCATGTTATTCTCATCTACTCTGTACTTGAATACAGTGTGAATTGTATTGAATATAGAGAAAAACCATGCAGTTTTAATCTTTCAAAAGTTCATTATAACATCTGGCACACAAAGCTCCTCATCTATATCTTCTACTTCAACCATTGAATCTTGTTTTAAAAAACATGTTTTCTAGATGTTTTCTGCTTCAATAAAGTAGATTAGACAAGGTAACAATTATGCCATCTTTAAGCCAATAGTTTTATCCTTCTCAGCCTGGGTTTTCCCTTTATCATTGTAGCAGGAAACAGTCAGATAAACCCTTGCATGTATTCTTGGCACTTTTGTGAGGAGACATGTTAAGGAACCTTTAGGAGATTGAGCTAGAGATTAATCCTTGCTTTTCCTTTTTTTCCCCTGACCTTGCCTCCATTTAGCAATGTTTTCTCTGCATTTTTGTGTACTTTCCTGACCCTCTCATATAATTCTCAGCAAAAGTTGGGAAAGTTGTGTTCTTTGAAGAAAATTAAAAGTTCAGACATGATGTGTGAGACTACCATTTCTTGAGCCTACTAGAACCCTTTCCCAAGGACTTTCTGTTTCCCTCTAAAATGTGTTCAGCCCATGTTGAAAATACTTTAGAATTGGAAAAATTCAAAATCTTTCTTTTTTCCCTTTTTTAAATCAAATTTATTTTAAACTAATACTTGAAAACAAAAAAATTGTACATGTTCATAGGGCAACATGATTTTTCTATACATATATATTCTGTAATATTTAAGTCAGGTTAAACATGCCCCTTGAAATTTTATGACAGAAAGCATTCACAGTTATTACATTTCACAATGTATGGTACATTGTTGATTTCTGTGGTTAACCTTACTTGGCACTGGTCAATAGCACATCAGAACTTCTTTCTCTTGTCTAGCTGTAACTTAATACTCACTGATCAGAGATTAGCCCTGATTATTATTCGTTGTGTATGAAATATTGTTGGTGTACAGTATGAGAAATAATATGTGAAAATAATAATAATAATAATTTGTGTACCAGTGGCTCATGCCTTTAAGTGTAACTACTCAGGAAGCTGAAAATTGGAGGATTATGGTTCCAAGGCAGTCTGTGCAGAAAAGTTCTAAAAACTCTGTTTCCAGTTAACTATCAAAATTTTTGACTAGAGGGATGGATTAAGTAGAAGAGCATCAGATATGAATAAGACAGCCTAGTAATAGGTCCAGGTCCCTGAGTTCAGACCCAACACACACACACACACACACACACACACAAATAAATGGTGAGTTCAGACCCAACACACACATACCCAAAGAAATGGTGAAATCTAGCCTAATGTAGAACAATAGGTGAACTCTTTTTCTCCTTTTAATTTTAAATTTGTCTTCTTTGTAGATTTAGCCAATATACAAATAAACTATATTGAAGCTTTTTTAATACCTGGACTAAGATCTAATGATGGAAGAGATAAGCAGTGTAAGGATGTGTGTGTGTATGTGTGTGAGAGAGAGAGAGACAGAAAGAGAGAGAAGAGAGAGAGAGAGAGAGAGGGGAGAGAGTGTGTGTGTCCAACTTGGAAAATTGAGCCTAGAAATTCTGGGTGGCCTTGGCACCATGACACAATCTAATGTGAATTGTTCAGGGAAGAATTCTTAAAGGAAGTCAGCTGTACTTCTTGTGTCACTTAGAATACAAACTTAATAGATAAGTGTGTTTAAAGTTTTTCTTGTTATGTTGTTAACCTGGCTTTATTATAACTATGTGGGAAATATGGGAAAACATTGTGTTTTGGCAAGTTTCACAGCTGTTCAGTGAAACATTTGATCCTGAGAAAGTATTAGTGGGTGAAACCAGTCACTTCATAGAGTGGAATTTTGTAGCCCCACAAAAGATTTCCTACCCTTAACCAATTATCTACCCAATTACAGGTAAAGAAATTGAGACCCAAAGAGGAAAATTAGCTGGCTTAAAATCACATATGTAGAAAATATATACACATTGCTACTCCGGTCTGCCCAGTATCTTTCTGACTCTTGAGAAGCTATTTTATCTCTGTATCACATTTATTTCTCAAATCTACTTCAGAAAGATATCTCTGTTTAAATTTTTGTTGATCATGTACAGGTGAAGTCTAATCAGCTTTTTTTCAGCCACTTACAAAATTGTTTCTATAAGGGAGATTCATAGATTCAAAAGACATATTCATAAGAGAAAATCATGCAGACCTATTTAACATAATTTTATGTGACAGAAAAGCCTTGGTAAGGAAATGAAACTCCGTAGAAATATTTAAACCTGTGTGCTGTTATGTAGGAGAATGTTAACAGATGGTCATGAGGAAATACGAAAGGGAAGAGGTATTATCTTATGCTTGTAACAAATTTAGCATGCTCTGTCTGTTCAGAATATTCTCTGTGATAAGACTGTTACTTTTCTCCTGGTGCAAGTGGGGGTACCTCTCACAGGAGAGCATCATGGCCTACTTTAGAGAAGGTCAGAAATCTTTCCTTAGTCTTGTCCTGCTTCAGGGAAAAGGGCAGGAAGAAAGCTATAGAGATCTCCCTGCTTCTGTTGCTTTCTAGTACGTCAATGTAGCATGTTTTGGGGTAGTGTTCCTTGAACTTCATTGTTTCTCTCCCCCATCTCCTCTATGTTTATTGATGATTATGATAGAGAACATGGCAGCTTCTTTATTTTGTCAGAAGTAGAATCTTGATGGAATCAGACTTTGAAGGTTTGGGGTCATTACCACAAATGGTACTTTTTTGTCTTACACACAAGAAAATAAAAGAAAAGAAAGCACTTTACTAATAAATTTTAGACTTCATTTGGTAATTTCAATAATTGGAACAGGTTGACTTTTATTTTTGCCAGTCCTGGGGCTTGAATTCAGGGCCTGGGAGATGTCCCTGAGCCTCTTTGTACTCAAGGATATTGCTCTACCACTTGAGCCATAGTACCACTTCCAGCTTTTTCTGGGAAGTTTATTGGAGATAAGAGTCTCAGGAACTTTTCTGCTCTGGCTGGCTTTGGACCTCAGTCCTCAGATTTTACCCTCTCAAGTCACTAGGATTACAGGCATGAGCCACTGGTGTCTGGCTGGCTTTTATTTTTAATTATAGGTAGTTCTTTCCTGTAATTTTTCTCAATCACTGTGGGTTTATTTTCGATCATGGAACAAGGGAAGGAATAGTTTTTTTCTAGCAAAAATTGAATTTGTGTTTTTGAATGTTACTTAACTATCGACCTGGTGAGAGACTTGGGAGGTGATCATTACTAACAGCGTTCATTTGATATACCAGGAGAGACAGTCACTGGATGCCCAGCATAGCTGTCACCTGTGGCACATGAATGCAGAGGCCCTTCCAGAATGGATAACCTGCCTGGTACAAAGAGTAAGTTTCTTCGTTTTGAGGTAAAGTAGGAATATACAACCACTGAAATATCTTTGTCCTCCTTTTAGAGCTTGTGTCTTTGATATGTTGTTTTCAAAACACATGAGCAGGGGCTGGGAAGGTGGCTCAGTGGTAGAGTGCTTGCCTTGCATGCATGAGTTCTTGGGTTCGATTCCTCAGCACCACATAAGCAAAAAGAAAAAATCCAGAAGTGGTGCTGTGGCTCAAGAGGTAGAGCACTAGCCTTGAGCTGAAGAGCTGAGGGACAATGCCCAGGCCCAGAGTTCAGGCCCCACGACCGGACCCAAAACAACAACAATAACAACAAAAGACACATGAGCAGGGTGGTGACACCTGACTATACCTACTGGATTGTTCACTGTAACTGGGGCATTCGTGGCACTTTTCTGTCTCAGGTTTTGAACTTGGTGTTTTCTCTTCTTTAAATGTTCCTCCAATAGGTACACATCCAGTTCTCACATTTCTACATTTTTTTAAATTATTGAGACCTTGCCTAGCCAACTATCAACTGTCCCTTCTTACTTTATCCTTCTATCTTCCCCAATTTTATTATATACCTCTCTATACTCTCTAGACCATTCACACTGTAATACTCATTACTTGCAAATATACACAAGCACGTATATGACACAATATATACTTAAATATACACACATAAATAGATTTATACCACACACATAACATATACACACAGAGATTACTTACTTTGTAAACCACTTAGTTACCATAGTAGGACTCAGAGAATTTTGTAGTTTGGTCATTAGTATATCCACAGCACCTAGAATAGTACCTGCTAAGTGAATTCATTGTCTTGTGTGTGTGACACACACACACACACACACACACACACACAGAGTCAAACATAAACATAATCTGTATAAGTAATAACTCTTACTAGTATAACCAAAATGAAAATACTAAAAAAAAAGAAAAGAAAATACTACATGTTAAGAAGTTGCATGTTTTTTCTCATATGTGGAAGCTAGAATTAGTTTATAAATATGTAAGTAAATGCTTTGAGTGGTATGCAAATATACATATATTTAATACCTGAAACAGGCTAGATTTAGGGGAGAACTTAGAGTAATTTCTTAGAAAGGCTAAATTGAAGTTCAACAAAATAAACACCAGGAAAGAGGTACTTGAAAGAGGTTGGGTGGTGGCAAGGGAAGGAGAGTAGATTAGTGAAGACAAGAAGAAGAAAAGAATACAGTTGGTTTTTTTTTTTTTTTGTTCTAAAGCAGTGCATTTCCTGCAACATTAAGAAAAGTGTAGGATGGAATGGATTGGGAAAGATAGGTGAAAATCTTGAAAGGGGTGACATTGATGAAGACCCATTGTATTCCTAACCTGCTTTATTGTAAGAGCAAGAACTAATCTTGTTAATATGATAGTTACTTTCACACAATATAAAATGCCTTTTAGAAATTACATGGGTTTTGGAGAAATATAATTACTTTCTCCATTGAATAGCTTATATTTTGGTTTAAAAAATAGCCCTTAAGTTTTAGTAGATATCTCTGTATCCATTCTCACACTGTAATAATTTCTGGGAGAATGCCCAGTGTACAGCTGGTAAAGTGTCCTGAACTTTATAAGGCATATTACAATACTACAGATACTCCATTTCCTTTGGGGAAAAGATAAGTTTAAGGCGAGTTCATCATTAATTTCTAACCCACGTCTGGAAAATGCACCATGTGATGTATGCAGTCAAGATCTTTGGGTTGCCTGTAAAAAGCCAGGAAGATCTTTATTCTGTTGGTTGGGAAGTTTCCCTCCCCCGTGCTTGGTATGCAAGAAGGGTATCAAAACAGACACTTTTCTGTGAGATTTTACTTGCAAATGAAGCTCTGTAGACTAATTTGCTTCCTAGTTTCATGGAGTATTTCTCTTCATTAGTTTACACTGTATCCATATTCAACCTATTGTTTAAGAGACGCTCTTTTGGAATTCTTAGGCGTATGGTTGGTTAGGCATGATTTGCAATATGTTATCATTCTAGAACATTGTTTCTGCTTATCTCTAGTAGAATGCTTGTTTCCATTTGCTGTTCTGTCTGCTAATCAGAAAACAGAAAGCTAGTCTTTTCTGTAGCATTAAAAACTTCCATGGGGTTGGCTTTTGTCTTTTCTCTTTCCCCCCCCTAAACTCACATTCTCTCTGGCTACATTACAATGAAAGCATTGTCTTCCTTTTCTTTTATTACCTGTAGGCCCAGTGGACAGTTGGAAAACTGAATTGCCCTTTTTGTGGGGCTCACTTAGGGGGCTTTAATTTTGTCAGCGCTCCAAAATGTTCCTGTGGCCAGCTTGCAGCTGTCCATCTCTCTAAGAGCCGGACTGATTATCAACCAGCACAGGCAGACGGACTAATGAGACCATCGCTGAAATCCATGTCACATCCCAGAGTTCAGTCAGGTTGTGACAAGAAAACTCTGCCGACAGGTGGTAGCTCCAAAACCAGAAACCATAAGCTTTTAAATATGGCCCAAAATAATAATGGTCTTGGAAGATTAACAGAAGCACTCTGCCTAGAGGTACGGGCCACATACTTTGAGATGAAGAATGAAAAACTGCTCTTCAAAACGTCAGATCCCAAATACCAGCTTTTTGTTCCCCAGCTGGTGACTGGCAGATGCACAAGAGCGTTTCATAGGAAATCACATAGTTTAGATTTGAACATCAGTGAGAAACGGACTTTATTACCCACTTTGTACCAAATACATAGTAAGATTACAGCTTACCCCAGGCTAAATGAAACACAGCCCATCGACCTTTCAGGACTGCCTTTACAGTCTAGTAAAAATAGCTGTTCTTTTCAGAATCCATCCCGTTTTGATCCTAATATGCTGCTTCAAAGGTTTTCAGTGGCTTCCCGTGAGACCCAGACACAAAGAGGAGAATTTCAGTGTGGACTAGAAGCTTCTTCAGTGTACTCTGACCACACTACTAATACCAGCAACCTGACTTTTGTGATGGATCTGCCCTCCACTGGGAGGAGCATGCTGGAGGCCTCAGAGCAAGAAGAACAGCTGTCTCCTCTGGACTTCCTGCATTCCGCCAGTTTTTCACTAGGCACCATTAACCAAAGGCTGAATAAAAGAGAAAGAAGCAAGTTGAGGAGTCTGAGAAGGAAGCAACGGAGGCATGAAAGATGGCTACAGAAGCAGGTAATGTTAATGTTACTTTAAAAAAGAAAAGAAAAAGAAATTTACTAACAATTCTGCATTTGTAAATAGTGGGGCTTGAAGCATACAGCTAACTTTGAACAACTATATTACAGAAACTCGGTTTTAATGTTGGAAGCGACAGTTTTTTCTAGGTACATTTAATAATCATGTATCCCTATTATAACTTGCAATGTGTAATCATTTCTGTGCTTCACATATGGTTAGAAACACCTCTCTTGCTGTTTTTTAGTTTCCAATTTTGCGGTTTCAAGAGGGAACTAAACATGTCATGATATTGAGACTGGATGGCTTATTATAAATATTTTTAATTTATTACATGTTGTCCTGGCTTTGCAGCAATTTTAGGTTGAGTGGAAACAAATGTTTCTCTAAATCTAATCAACATTGTTCACTTTTCATCATGCTTATTTTAATCTGATATTTTCAAGGAACCTTATTTAATTATGTGCCTAGGGATACAGGTGTGATCATGAAAGTAATTGTGCCAAATTATAAATGTTACTCAAAGGATAATTTCCCCTTTCTGTGATTTTTGTAGGAGTGTTCGCTTCTCTATTATTTGAACTCTTGCACTTCCAGAGAATGAGCTCAGGGTTGTGTGTGACAGACCAAATAGTAAGTTTTAGATTCTACAGAAGCCAATTTACACCCTGACTGAAGTGCTATGAATATTTGGAAGTTTGAGGACTTGTCTGTTTCTCAATAAACATTGCTTCGCAAACTTCCTTCTTACCTTCTTACCTGTTTCTTACTAATCAATGGTAGTTCTTGTTAATTTGTCTGTTGAATATTAACAATACCCAGAGACTTAAAATACATAAAGCAGCAATTTTGTCTAATAATTCACTGTACGACAGCTGAGTGAATTTTTCCTGACATTATCCAAAACAAAAAACAGTGCAATGAATGCTTCAGTCAGATTTGGATATGTTTTACATATTTTAGTTAGATAGTATAGTATTATTAGAGATAATTGTGTCTTGTATTTTTGGCTGGTTAGTATAGGAGCACTTCAGTTTTTTAAAAATAAATGATTGTTAATGTGGTCAGTAGTTTTCAGAAATGAATGTATTTTAGCATCATTAGATATAATATAATTGATTGAATCCATGAAATTCAAACTATTTGAGAAGTTGACTTCTACCTAAATAAGTTACAGATGATCATGCGTTGAGTATTCAGAAAAAAATAACTTAAAAACAGAGCCCCATTATAAAGGAGAAATATGAATTATCTTATAAATAGAAATGTAAAAGAAGCATGAAAGCTATACTTACTGTATTCTGACAATATATGCAGATAACATCTTTGAAATTAAGTAAATGTGTTTAATTCTAGGGATAAATCCTTTTGAAAACCTCAACTGTATTAAAAACTATTTTAAAGCATAGAAATGTTCAGTTTACACAGTTTAGAGGATGACAATAGCAAAGTTAAGTTTGGGGAAATTTTTTAATAGATAACATTTTTATTCATTCATATACCTATAATTTGACCAATCTGCTTAGCTAATTAATTTTTTGTGAACATTTATTGAATGTTTATTTGGGATACTAGTGTATTGCTTAATGATTTCAATATAGATTTTGTGTTTGCTGCTGTTGTTTTGTTTTTTGGTGGTGCTAGGGATGAACTCAGGGTCTTGTGCATCCCAAGTAAATGCTCTACTATTGAGCCGCATCTCTAGCCCCAGATTCTACCCCTTTTACATGAGAAGACAAACAATAGTTACCATAAGTATTGACCATCTTTAATGTTTCATTGTTTAATGGAAACAAAAATTAGCTATTTTTAAAACAGGTTTTGTGGCTTTTCGCTATTCAGTTTTTACTTTCTCATCTATTCTGGAAACCACCCTTGCCAGTACAGTTTGTGAATGTTCTCTGCCATTCTGTAGGTTGTGTCTACATCCTGCTGATTGTTTCCTTTACGGTGCAAAAGCTACTGAGCCTGATATACTCCCATCTGTCTAGATTTTTTTTTGTATTTCCTGTGCTCTGAGAATCTTATTCCAAAAATGTCTGCTCATTCCGATGTCCTTGAGTATTTCTCCTATGCTTTCTCTCTGTAGTTTAATAATTTCAGGTCTAGCTTTAAAAGTCTTTCATCCATTTTGAGTTGATTTTTGAAACTGTTAGAGAAAGGGTCTAATTTTACCGGGCGCTGGTGGTTCACACCTGTAATCCTTGCTACTCAGGAGGCTGAGATCTGAGGATCACGGTGCAATGCTAGCCAGGGCAGGAAAGTCCATGAGATTCTTATCTCCAATAAACCACTAGAAAGCCAGAAGTGGCGCTGTGGCTCAAGTGATAGAGCATTAGCCTTGAGTTAAAGAGTGCAGAGACAGCAATACCCAAGCCCAGAGTTTAAGCCCCACAACCGACAAAAAAAAAAAAAAGAAAGAAAAGGAAAGAAATGAAAAGGATCTCATTTTATTCTTTTATACTGTGGGTGTCAGATTTGCCCATCACTACTTACTGATCTTTCCCTAATGTGTGTATTGTCACCTTTGTTGAAGATCCATTGACTGTCAATGTATTGGTTAATATGTGTGTCTCAATTCTATTTGTCTATTTGTTCTTTTTTATATATACATTTTCATTGCAAATACTGTACAGAGGGGTTACAGTTACATGAGGAAGGTATTTAGTACATTTCCTATCCAGCATTATTGCCTCCTCCTTTGTTTTACCCCTACCATCCCATGCACCCCCCAGTTCTTTTCAACATAGTGTTTTGTACATCTCATTGTTACAGTGGGTCAACCTGTAATACCTATTTAAGCATTTTGTTTTTTCCCTTCCCCTCCCCAAATTAGAAAAGTGTATATACAAGATGCAGGGCACCGGAATCAAATACAGTGAAAACGAGTTTTAAGTGGGGGAGGAACATACAAAAGAAACAAAAAGTACATTAGGAAGAACAGCGACAAAGATAAAACCTCTTGTGTCCCTATCTTGGGGTTCATTTCGCAGCAATCCCACTTTTGGGCATTTACCCAAATGATCACAAACAAGGCTATAGTAAAGCTACCAGCACAACTATGTTTGTTGCAGCATTATTTACCATGTCTACTTGTTCTTACAACATGTTGCTTTATTAGAGCTTTGTATATATTTTGAAGTGAGGTCACATAGTGCCTTTTACTTTGATTTTTTTTTTTGGTTCAAGATGGTTTTGGTGTGTGTGTGTGTGTGTGTGTGTGTGTGTGTGTGTGTGTGTTTCTGCAAATTTTAAGGTATTTTCTACTTCTGTGAAGAATATTATTGGTACTTTAATAGGTATTACATATATTTGGTACTGTACTGGGATTTGAACTCAGGACCTGTGCTCTTGCTTAGCTTTTTCACTCAAGGATGGTGCTCAACCACTTTAACCATATTTCCTCTTCCTCTTCCAGTTTTTTGCTAAGAATTGGAAGATAAGAGTCACAGATTTATCTGCCAAGGCTGACTTCAAATAATAATCTCAGCCTCCTGAAAGGCTAGGATTACAAGGATGAGCCATCAATGCCCTAAATATAGACATTTTAATCCTCTCTTTTCAATCTATGAACACAGGCTGTCTTTTCATGTTCTCATGTGATCATCAACTTTATGTTTTATAGTTTTTGTTGTAGGGAGCATATTAATTTTTTATTTTTTAAAAATTATCAGAAAGTTTATTGTTTCATACATAAACAGTTTTGACACAGGATGACTCAATACAATCAGAGCTTAAATTCTTTTCTATTTTTTCCCTCAGTACTGAGGTTGGAACTAGCCTTGTGCTTACTAGCCAGGTGCTCTTGAGCTACAATCTTACTCTTTTTGATTTAGCTGTATTTTAAATAGTCTTTCATTTATACCCAGCTCCAGCTTGAACTATGACCCTTCTACTTATATTTCCTAGCTGGGATGATGGGAGCACATTGTTTAATTTTACTAAAACATGATTACAGTTTACTGAATTGATTTCATGGCCAACTATTGAATTATGACTCATAATTGATTAAAAAAACCCTAGTCTATAAAACAGTGGAACACTGGTAAACCAAGAGACCTGGAGACTTTCTGTCCGGAAGTGGATGTTCTGTGGAAGTGTTTTGATAGGCTTAAGCAATTTTTTTTTCTTGCTTTAACAATAATTTTGTTGTTATTAGTAAAGTGTTGTACAGAGGAGTTACCATTTCATAAGTCATATAATGAGTTCATTTCTTTTTAGACCATGTCACCCTTTCCTTTGCTTTCCTCCTGTTTACTCCTCCCCTCCCTGCTCACAGTTGTATAATTCATTTTCCATAGGATGTATACTTAATTTGCATCGATAATAATTTAAAATTCAAATAACTTGTCAGATTTTCTGACTGTTACTTGGCATTTTATTTCTCTAGACCTCACTTAGCTTTTTCTGCTCACAGCTGACTTTCTACCACTTGATCCATGTCTCCTCTGCCAGCTTTATGCTGGTTAATTGAACTGTCAAGTTTGTTTGCCCAGGCTGGCTTCCGATTGTGATTCTCAGATCTTAGTTTACTGAGTAGGTGGGAGTGTAGATGTGAGTCGCTGGCACCTGCCTTATTTGACTTTTTAAATGAATTTTTGTGTAAGAGATGTAATTTAAAAATACATTCTCTGAGTCCATAGCTTCTCTTTTACATTGTCTTTTTTGCCTGAAGAGCTAAGTTATTCAATTTTAAAGAAGTCTAATTTCTCAAAAAGAAAAATTAAAGAATCCTGTTTTTAGTGTTATTTCTAAGAAGGATAAACATATAAACACAAAAAGGGTTATATAAGAGAGAGAGTTTGTAATTGTGGGGCCATTTGAGAGGATTTAGGAGAGTAGCAAAGAGAACTTGAGGGTGAACAAAAGCAGAATATATTGCATTTGCGAATGAATGTGGCAGAACCCAGCTCATTGCAAGTACTGGAGGTGGGGAAAGAGTAAGGGAATCAATTTGATTAAAGTACTGTAGATACATTCATGAAATATCTTGGTGA